AGGTATGATATGTGTTATGTTATAAAGTGTGTATGATTTCATGATATTATAATATTATTATTTTCATATGTTGTTTTCATGGATCTCATCGAGGTAAGTGGACAGTAAAGGTTTTTATGTTAATAAACGAGTTCGTTATAAATTATGCTCCATTGGTCATTTTTGTTTTCTACCCACCTTTACTTCCGTGGCGGTGAGATAGTGTGATGTTTTTATTGGGCTAGTGTAGCTCATTCCTTATTTAACCATTTCATATCAATAAGATGTTGTTCCCGAGCCCGTTCCGCATGAAGACAGCGAAGGGGACGCCTAAAGACTTCATGGTTATATTTATAGTTCTTATTTTGAGTATCTCTTTTAGTTAGTTTGTTCCTTCATATTTTGAGTACGTTTTGGTTATTGTGTAAGGGATGTTAATCAAAATTTTTATTACGCTTCCGCATTTAAGATTTTTAATACATATATTCCATTTAAATTTTCGAGGACGTTACATTCTTCCTCCCTTTTCCTATCTTCTATCTATAGGAGTGGGAAGTCACGAGAGAACGGTTGCCACTATTCCATCGTACAATTCTATTTAAAAATTGTCAACTTTCATCATATCACTTCACCTAAAAAGTTACTACTTTTTACATTTCGTTTTATTTAAAAAGTATTTTTATATGTCACTTCACCTAAAATGTTACCATTTTTCACATATCACTTCATATAAAATTTGTTACTTTATGTAATATTATTTCATATAAAAATTACTATTTTTTACATGTCACATCATCTAAAAATTGTCATTTTTTATTTTATTATTTTATCTAACAGTTACCGCTTTCATTATACCAATTCATTTAAAAGGTTCTTATTTTTTTCATACCTCTTCATACTTATTCTAGGTAATTTATTATTTTTTCGTTTGGCTCTAAACTATATTTTTAATCTTATTATATATTTTTAAATACATATAAAAATTAAATTAAATATATTAAATATAAAAAATTAATTCTGTGGTATTTTCAATATATCACATTATAAATAGGGTTTCAAATCTTACAGCAAACAAAATTTTATTTCAATTTTGAAGCTTTTTTAAAGTGGTTTGGTGTTGACTTAATCGAAAAATAGCATTTATTAAAATGTAAGTGTTTTTTTAAAAAAAATAAAAATACAATAATTAGTTTAGACAAATAATATATATAATAATCAATAGTAACGCAATTTCAAGAACCACGATGATTTTTATAAAATTAAATCTTTTGATTAGGTCAAGAAGAAACTCCATTTCTTGGGAAAATTAAAAGAAATAATCAAAGCATATTTCTCAAACTATTATTTTAAAATTTAAAATTTAGTTTTAGTTAATAAGATAATGTTGAAATGACATGATATTTTTGGTAAATTTTGATAAGTTTAAGTCTTCCTTGTATTATATCTAAAAATATTAAATTTTACCCAATACTTCATAATTTATTAAAATGTAGTACATAATAAGTAAATCAAATTGTTCACTGGGTCCATTAATTGTATATGTTTTTCTCTTAAAAACAAACGAGTCTACATACTCTGTACATATATAGTTTAAAAACATAAGTTAAGTTTTGCTTATTTTGTTGATGAAATTAAATTAAATTTGAAAAAACAAACGAGTCTACATACTCTGTATATATATATATATATATATATATATAGTTTTGCTTATTTTGTTTATAAAATAAAATCATGATAAATTTAATTTTGAAAAGAATTGTGTTTTAATTCTAAATTAAATTCATATTTGATTCAAATTAATAGGATATTTTTCTTAGTTTTATTCAAAAATAAAAATAAATTTATTATTATAAAATTAAATATATTAATATTAATAAAGAAAATACCAACAATGCAGCAGTTGGTAAGTAAAATAGAATACATAGTTGGGTTAAAACCAAACTGGAACCTATTATGTACACGTAAATTACAGCCAACTTACAGCGCAAAAAAGAGCCACGTGCATCTCTTGTACGGTCTTCTTCAAATCCGGAAAAACGCGTCCCTTCTCTCTCTCCATCCCTCTTTACACCTCACTCCCTTCTCTCTCTTCTTTCCCCACATCAATGGCGTCACCGTCTTCTATCTCTCCTTTCATTCTCTTCCTTTCCCTCTTCTTCTTCACTCATCTCTGCACAACCCAACTCACAGTTGATGCTGCCAACAAAGAATACCTAAAGCTCCCATTGCTGCATACCACCCCATTCCCCTCTCCGACTCAAGCCCTGTCATTAGATACCCACCGTCTCTCTCACCTCTTTGCCTCCTCCCTCCACCGGAAAAAGGTCAAGTCCAGACCCCCACTGAGGTCACCTGTGGTTTCCGGCGCATCATTCGGCTCCGGCCAATACTTCGCCGATCTCCGTTTGGGCTCCCCGCCCCAGTCTCTCCTCCTCGTCGCCGACACCGGCAGCGATCTTGTCTGGATCAAGTGCTCCGCCTGCAGAAACTGCTCCCTCCATGCCCCGGGCACTGCATTCTTTGCTCGCCACTCCTCAACATTCTCTCCCTTTCACTGCTACGACTCCGAGTGTCGACTCGTCCCTCACGCCAGTCGGGCCGAGCCCTGCAAACACACCCGCCTCCACACCCCCTGCCGCTACGAATATTCCTACGCTGACGGGTCCCTCACAACCGGATTCTTCTCCAGAGAAACGACGATGTTGAACACCAGCTCAGGCAGAGAAGCCAAACTGAAGAACCTTGCCTTCGGGTGCGGATTTCGGATCTCGGGTCCGAGTCTTTCGGGCGCCAGCTTTAATGGGGCCCAGGGGGTCATGGGCCTGGGTCGAGGATCCATTTCCTTCTCTTCCCAACTGGGTCGCCGATTCGGGAACAAGTTCTCCTACTGTCTCATGGACTACACACTATCTCCACCGCCGACTAGCTATCTCATGATCGGCGGCGCCGCAAAGGACGTTTCGAAGAAATTGAGAATGAAGTTCACTCCCTTGCTGGTCAACCCTCTGTCCCCGACATTTTACTATATAAGAATCAGAAGCGTCTTCGTCAACAATAAGAAATTACGGATTGATCCTTCTGTTTGGTCAATCGACGAGTCGGGTAACGGCGGCACGATCATTGACTCGGGCACCACCTTGACGTTCTTAGCGGAGCCAGCTTACGGTCAAATCCTGACAGCGTTTAGAAGGACAATGAAGATGCCATTATCCAGGGAGCTAACCCCGGGTTTCGACCTTTGCTTTAACGAAACGGGACTGTCGAGGCCGAGTTTTCCAAGGTTGAGATTTGAGCTCGCCGGTGACTCGGTATTCGCACCGCCTCCGACAAATTACTTCATCGATACAGAAGCCGGAGTGAAGTGCCTAGCTATTCAACCAGTTAACCAGGAGACTGGATTCTCGGTAATAGGAAATCTGATGCAACAAGGATTTCTTTTGGAGTTCGATAGGGACGGATCGCGGCTCGGTTTTTCACGACGTGGCTGCAGCGTACCATGAGACGAAGAGGTTTCTCAACTCAGTGAGTTGGTAGATTGAAAATTATTTGGGTAAGCACCAAATCCTGCTCATTTCATATTTTTTTTTTTACTTTTACCGAAAATTCAATCTTTATCTGAAATTGAACAGAAAGCGAAATTAATTTTGGGCATTGTCTGGATTTGGTGAACATAAATTAACGAATGGGGGATTTTATTTATTTAATTTTGGATATTTGGACTTTATATGGAGACTCGTCAATTAAAAAATTAAAAAAAAAAAAAAAAAAAAAGAAGAAAAGAAAAGAAACCAAAGTGAGAGAGATGTTTTGTTGCTTTTGGCTTGTGGTGTTTTTTGTCTGCGTCTTATCACGTGATTTCTTTTTTCCCTGTTTTTGTTTTTTATTTATCGAAATGTATTTCTCTATATAGAATTTATTTATATTATAATTTTTTAATTTTTGTATCATATTATTTTAATTCGATAGAATTATGAATCTTATCTAAATCTTTGAAATTGTATAATGTTTTTTTTTTTTTTTTTTTTTTTCTTTATACTCAATTTTATGATTCTAATGATGTGACATGACTATATTTTTGGATTGAACTACCCACAATGGACTTCAATTTTATCTAATCTTTGGATTGAAAAAAGAACATCATGAATAGTTATATATGAACAAGTTGCATATGTACTGTTTTATTTTTTTCTCCTAAAAGTTATATGAATATTATACAGTCTTTTTTACAAGAAGAAAAAAGTATAAGAAGACAAATTGGTTGAAGATGCTGCCTTTTCAGAGTTATTTCATCAATAGCTGGTATGGATTTGGAATTAAATCATTAAATCTATGTTTACTTATTAATTAATATGCGCAAGCGAGGAATTAACTACATGAAATTTATTGGAAATGTCTTTTATGGGTGGTTTCAAATTCGAAATTCATAATTCAACTCACACGGTATGAACAAATTTATACTTTCGAAAAAATTAAATTCAAATTTTTAAATAAAATATAAAAATTGTAACTATAAAATTATATAATAAACAATAATAATATAGATTATACTTTCTTTAACATAAAATTGATTACATATTGTGATACTAACATAACAAAAAAAACAAAAGATGAGTGATTGGCATGGCAGAGACAGCTGTGAAGATGAGAGCGTAGGTAAAGCTTCTTTACTAATTCCTCTCACGTGTTTAGGACATGGGGCCTTCCTTTCCACTCTGCTATGACATTACATAACTCCTTTCTCTCTCTCTCTCTCCTCTATCTTCTTATCTATTTTTGAAAATGTACTATTTATAATCTTATCAACATCTTTTTTTTTTTTTGTACAAAAAGTTCTACTTGACCTGTATGTATATATATGTATGTATGTCTGTATAACACACTTGTCATAAACTTGAAGTAGAATAGTACGCGAGAGTATGTAAGAAATCTTTCTTCAAATTCAGCAAATTAAAAGAGTTTTTATTTATAGGGGTAGATGAGATCATCAAATCAAAGTAAAAATCAATCACAAAATTACTTTGGAAGTTGTTAAAAGGAAGAGGTATAATCATGAAATTTTGAAGAGTTCATATTACTCTTTATTTAAAAACAAGAGTACAATATGTATTAACTCCCACTTATAAAAAATATCGTTTTACTTCTCTAAGCAATGCAAATCAATATTTTATACAAATTTTTAGAACATGGTAGTAAAGCCTCGAAAAGAGAATTTTGGTGAGGCATATTTTATTATATCACCTTCAATATATTCTCTTTTTAATCATTAATCTCAATCATATACATCGTCAAATTGATTCATAAATAACAAATATTTTTACATTATTTGAAATAAGTAATATTTATTATTTATTATTTATTTTGTAGACCACCATGATATTGTTATGTCACCATAGGCGAACAGATAGTCTATTTGAGATCTAACTACGTACTGATTAGATAACTATCCCCATACGTAAAACTAATTAATTATTATTTTTATCATTTTTTATAAAATTAAGTTCAAAATCTATTGTTTTATTAGAGATATCTAAACATATATTTAATCTCAGTCCAATATTTTTTATAAGGGAAGAACTATATCTTACTACTACTAAGTTTACAGAAAATGCTATACCAAAAGCCAAGTGTTATTAGCGAGATACATTAGTGTACCTATTGCATTAATATATGGTACTTCAAGACCAAGTAGTTTTTCATAACCCTCGTGTCAAAAAAGATCTTTATGCACATTAAGTGATTGAGCAACCATAATAGTGATTAATGCATGTACTTTTATTATTAGAAAATTGTTTTAAGATTTTTTCTATACCTCATTTGATGAATATGAATTTCATTTGCTAAACGTTCAATTTATAAAACAAGTTAAATTCTATTTTTCTAAGATATTTTATTTTGAATTCTTTTTTAAAATAATAAATTATTTTCGAAAGTTTTTCAAAAATTTCAGTTGCACTTTGAATAATTTGAACCTACAGTAAAATGAAAAATTGATATGCAATTTTTTTAATAAAAACACATTAATGCATTAGATCATTGTTATAACTCTGCTTTAATAATATTCATTAAAATGGTTATAACACGTATCTCCATATTGTTTTAATTTATACAAAGATCTTTGCAATTTAATAAAATAGTTTTCTCAAGAATTTATATTTCATGTTTCAAGCATTTTAAATCATTTGTTGATTTTATATGTATATATCGCTATCAATTGATCTATATAAATATAAAGTAAGTACATATATTAAATGCATTTTAAGATTTTTATTTACTACTATACTTAGAAGCTGTTGGAACATTATAGTGTGCATCACTAGAAAATATATTTTTTTATAATCAATATCAAATTTTTGTGAAAATCCCTAAGCTATAATCGAGTTTTATATAAGACAACTTCGTTGTTTTTGTTTCTTTTTCTTACAAATACTTATTTGTAGCCAAGTAGTTTTATGTCATTAGGTGTATGAATTATTAGTCTAAAAACTTTTCAATTATCAAATGAGTTCAATTATGTTTGTAACATATTTTTCTATTTTGTCCAATCATTTCTATGTCGCATATCTCGAAGGATTTAGCTTCAATATCCTCATTATTTTCTTCCATAATATTATGCATTATATGAGAAAAATTGTTGTCGATAATGTATTTTCACATTCTCAACGAATTCTAGTAATGACATAATTTATTAAGATCTCATTATCATCTTTTTCGGGTACTTGAATTTTTTCTGAAGTTTTATGACTAATTATGTCAATGGACTCTTGAGGAACACCTGCCTTCTTAGCTCATGAATCTTGGTTGTCAATTTCTTATTAATTTGGACATTTTGATTATTTATGCATTTTGTTTATGTGAATTTTTATCTTTGGAACGGACTGATCTACCATGCTTGATACGTGTTTTTAACTTATTTATAATATTAACGGATTGTTTGACATATATATTAATACTAATTGACAAATTTACCGTTGACATATATGATTTAGTTATTCTTTTAAGGTAAATGAATGTATGTGTAAAGAAACTTAACCAGGTAGGGTAGAGAGCATTTAATGCTCATTAATTTTTCTGTTGAATTTATTTTGAATGGAGTCTTGTAAATATATACACACACAAGGAAATGAAAAGAGGGGATAAGGGTGGTCTTTGGAAACATTAGAGGCCACCAGCTGTATCCAACTTTTAAACATAAAAAATATCTGGACCCTTCATTTTAGGGTTATAATCTGAGCAGTCCACCTGTCCATTTTGTTAACCTTCGCATTTCCTTTTGATTCTTTTCATCTGTTTCTCAAGATGAAGTTAGTTTGCTTTCGGCCCTTCGGGTTTCTCCTTATCTCTTCTTTGACTCTTTGAACTCTCTTGTTGTAGATGCTTCATCTTGAACAGAAGCCGATGATTTGTTGAAGTTCCTAAGGGGTTTTGTGAGCAAATCCACGAGCTATTCCCTCGAGGTGACATGATTTGTTTCAACGAAGCCCTTTGGAACCTGGTTACGTACTATGTGGCAGTTGATGTCAAGATGTTTCGTTCTTTCGTGAAAAACTGGATTTGCTGCGATATACTCGGCTGCTTTGTTGTCGCAGTTCAATGTTACGGGTAAGTGGAGTGTTATTTAAAAATCACGAAGTAGATAGGTTATCCACTGAACTTCACACACCGTGGATGATATACTTCTGTATTTAGCCTTTGTAGAAGACTTACTCATCGTAGCTTGTTTCTTTGATTTTCAGGAGATCAGTGTAGGCCCAAGGAAGATGCAGAAGCCCATGAGCGATTTGTGGGCTATCGGACACGATGCCCAGTCTGAATCATAAAAAGCTTAAACTTTAAAGTCATTCTTTCTCGGAAGAAGATGCCTTGCTCTGAATATTGCTTTAGGTACCTAACAACGTATAGTGCGGCGTTGAGGTGTGGCCATCTGGGTTATTGCATAAACTGACTGAGATGTTGAGTGGAATATCGGGCCTGGTGAAATTAAGATAAAGTAAACGGCCAATTAGACATCTATATCTCTCTGGATCTGGTAAGATCTCTCTTCCTTTGTATTTAGTTTTAGGCTGGAAGGCAGGGGAAAGTGGCTCCTTTTGCATCTTTCATCTTTGTATCTTGCAAAATATCTCTGGTGTATTTTTTTTTACTGATGTAGATTCCTTCTTTTGACCTAGCTATTTCGACTCCAAGAAAGTATCTTGCTTGGTCGAGGTCCTTGACTGTGAAGACTTCATTCAAGGCGCTTTTGATTCCGTAAATCTCTTCTTCATTAGGAACCGTGACAAGTAAGTCATCAACATACATCACAACTACAACGTGGTTTCCTTTTGTTCCTTTTGCGAATAGACAGTGGTCAGCTTCTGACTTGGTGAAGTCGATAGATTGAAGCTTTGAGGTAAACTCCTTGTTCCACTGGTGGCCCACTTGTTTTAGGCTGTATAGGCTCTTGGTTAGACGACATACTTGCTTTTTACTAGCCTTAAAGTAGCCCTCTGGAGGTTTTAAATATAGCTCTTCTTCCATAAAACCATGTAAGTATGCGTTGTTGATGTCTAACTGGTATACTAGCCAATCACTTGCGACTGCCACGACTAAAAGTAACCGAACCGTGACCATTTTGACCACTAGTGAGAAGCTATCATGATAGTCTATGCCGAACTCCTGATTGTAACCTTTAGCTACAAGTCTTGCTTTGTATTTATCAACTAATCCATCGACATTGTATTTTATTTTGTATACCCATTTTGAGTCAATTGTTTTCTTTCTTGTTGGTATTGCAGTTAGTTCCCATGTTCTATTTTCTTCCAGTGCGGACAGTT